ATCTTATAGTTTGGATCATCCTAATAAATACAATGCATGCATCCAATAGAATTAGAAAACATAAGAGTGGAGGATTTTAAAAAAAATAATAATTTAATAGAGAAGTGGTCATAGTTAATTGCCTACATGCATGCATGCCTTATATTATGAAACATCTAAAAAGAGTGGTTGTGCCAGTCCGATTTCGTCCGTCTGCACGATTTTTCTTCGCCCACACAACTTTCCAATATTTTTCCAGTCCGATTTGGCAGTCATCAAACAAGTGATTCCAAAACAAACTATCCACACCACAGCCCAACAAACTAAATCGGACTCAAACAAATAATTCCAAAATACTCGCAAAGATTCACAGGAAAGACCAAAAGCTGCTGCCATCAGCATGAGGCTGAGGAGCGGACAACAGCACAGAACACACGGTCGGCGAAGAAAGAAAGACATGGGAGAGATGGAGCAGCACCAGAGTTGCTTGCCTGGAGGGCATCACCTTCGCGCCCCTGCCGTCGGGTCCACCCTCGGCCGCCGCCACCACCGCCGGATCCACTCGCAACCGCCGCCGATGCCACCACCGCCGCCGGAGGGAGAAGAGAGGCGGCAGAGGGAGCCGCCGCTGCCGGATCCACCCTTAGCAAACACCACCACCGCCGGATCCACCCGTGGCTGCCACCGAAGCTGCCACCACCGCCGGATCTGCCGCTGGAGGGAGGTGAGAGGGGGTGGAGGGAGCTGCCAACGACGACGCCGCCACCACCGCCAGATCCACCCACGACCGCCACCAACCCGCTGCCACCGCAGGAGGGAGGCGAGAGGGAGAGGAGGAGGGGGCGATGGAGACAAGACGGGCACGAGAGAGGAGAGGCCTCGCCGCACAGGAGAGAGGGACAAAGAGGCGTCGGCCGCTGCACAGGGGAGGGGGAGAGCGCCAGCCGCTGCTATATTTTTTCCTCGCTCCATGCGGCTATGTTTAGCTACACGAGTGTATTATTTTTTATATAAAACGGACACATATATCCCAGATATATATGTACCAGTTTTTAAAAAATGGGTATAAAATATTATTGGTGTCACCACTTATAATGGGCTATAGGTGCGTCACAAATTTTTCGTCTGTAAAGTCAAACTGAGCGGCGCCCTCCATCTCATGAGCATAATCGTGTACGGCGGCCAAACCAAAAATAAATAAATTGAGATGATACAAAATCCTAATTGTGTATGGAGGACAAATCACAACATCGAAAACCGACTGATAATCTCAAAAAAGAAAAAAGAAGAAAAATAAAAATTACGGCAAAAATCATCAACGGTACTGCTGCTCATAGTCTATGCCCTCACCTTGAACCACCGAGCATTGGCCGACGCAGCGGGGCAACGGGGAGGAGGAGGCGACCATCGGTGGCTCGGACGTAGCCCAGTGCATAGAACCACCCCCTCACTGCGTGCCACGAGGCTTGACCGAAGCGACAGGGCAATGTGGCCTTGGTGGCTCGATAAGGACCATCGGCGATAGCAACGGCGGTGCTACGTGAGGACGGAGAGGAGGAGGCCATGAGGAGACGATGTATGAACGGCGGCGACACACAACGCACTATGCAGAGTGGAAGAGGAGGAGCAATGTGGAGGAAAAATGGCGACGCGTGATGCAGAGTGGGAGAGAAGCGGCGTGCGATGTGGAGTGGGAGAGAGCCGGAGTTAGGGTTGGTCAATTGAGTTGCTTTAGCTTGTTGGGCCGATTGGGTCAAATTCGGTCTGTTTGGTCTTTTTTTTTAAGGTATAAGTCCACTTTGACTCCCTCAAATATAGCTCCAATCTAATTCATATCCATGATCCGCAATACCGGATATCTTGGCACCCCAACTATTAAAACCGATGTGACTCCCTCAACGATTTTGGTGGGCGGTTTCGCTGACGTAGCGCTTCGACTTGCTATAACCTGTTGAGGCATCCTGTAGGGCTCACCCGTTAGTGACCCTTATATTTCTTCGTTTCCTTCCCTTTTCATTTCATCAGATCGATCGGTGTGGCCCCATCTTCCCCCATCCGCTCCATGTCGGGCCACCGTTGGGGATAAGTAAGCGTGAACGTCAGGGGGAGTAAGGGTATATCAGCAGCGCCAACAATGAGTTGTCCCATGCCAACAAGCTCGCTAGGTCGATGGCGGGCGAGACGATGTACCGGAGACAGTTCAGCTTGGTCCTCATCGAATCGCAATGCCCTTGCGCCTGTTCCATGTCCTCGAGTAGCGTGTGTAGCGGAAGAGCACCACGATCTCCTGGTCGCCGCCGGCGGTCGGGTCGTCCCCCTCGACAACGGTGACACTGTTAGTGATATGCCCTAAAGGCAATCATAGAGATGATTGTATCACATACAATGTTTACATATTTATCCGACATTGTTCCTTGAAACAGATAACTCCTTATTGGTTAATGAATATGTGATTCTTTCATGAGACTCTTTATGTTGTTTGTTACTATTTCTAAAGGATCCCTGATCAAATATCATATGTAGAACAAATATGTTTATATGATCAGCACATGTATTAATTGATGATCATGTCTCATGGATCATGGTATAGAGATACCAAATTAATAATGTGGACACATGTTGGTGAACATGTTGTTGGATAGACCCAACATGCGACACTGCAAGAGCCATATGTGTTGTGTCATCAGTGATCTCATTGAGTGTTGGTGTTGAATTCTTAGACCTGAGATTATCATGGTTCTCAACATGTGTAGTAGCTTAATTAGGGACTGCTAAACGCTACTCCGTAATTGGGTAGTTATAAAAGTAGTTTTCGGGTATACTATGAAACATGTAGTGGGATATGAATAATCAAGATGGGATTTGCCCCTTCTATGGAGAGATATCTCTGGGCCCCTCGATGTTGTAGATTATGGAAGTGCATGGCCATGCCAAAGGTGATTGAGGAGTCAATCACAAGTTATATAATCTATCAACAGGTTCGAGTGAATGATTGAGCTATTAGAGAATGGCACATATCTAGCCTTGAGCTTAATCGATATCGTGAGGCAAAGGGGTTCATACAAGTATACACTAGAGGTTTAGCCGATATGATCTTTATGTATGCCCGGTGGATAAATACGTTCTGCTAGGGGCCGCTGTTGACGCATGGACCGAAAAGGAGTTTTCGGGTTACAGCCGAGTATATATGAACCTACAGGGTCGCACGCTTAATGGGCCAGAATAAGGGGATTGGATAGAGATCCAACATGAGCTTAATTCGAATAGGGATCCGAATAGGAGTCCTACGGGCCTTGGAGGCCCGAGTGATGGATCCTATATATTCGTAAGGGGTGTGACCGGCGGAGGCATTGCATCACGTGAGAAACCCTAGCCATCACTTCCCTCCTCGAGCAAAACCCTAGCCGCGCGCGGGTGCTAGCACATCTGCACATGGCGTTCCATCCCTGTACGTATGGATACCGGTAGAGGCGCCGCTGGTTTGCGGTGCTGATCGGCATGGGAGTACGGCGAGGAGAACGCACGAGGAGGAGAAGGTCGAGCTGGTGCGATCGACTACTTCCTCTACATCGATGCGCGCTACTTCGCGAGAGTTCCTTCGACTTCTCAGCGTCTTCTTACGTTGCACAGCGCGTCGAGTGGTAACGATATATGATCTAATACTTGCATGGTTCCTGGTTTACGCGATAGAAAATTTTGATTTATGCTATCGTAGCCTACGCGTATCCCAAGAGACACGCATGAAGCCAACGATGCACCCGGCGGAGGAGTACTTCGCCGGCCCGAGGAACTTCCCTTCAGGTATGAACGACACAGTGACGATGACGACGAGACGGCAACTTTCTCTTTTCTAATCGAGTTGCATTTTTTTTCATTTCATTTTTTAAGTATTTGTCTAAGGATTTGAGCTAATTGAGCTGTTTGAGTTAACTTGATTATTTTGCTACATGGCTTTTACAGATTGTGTGCTATTACACGAAACAATTCATTTAGAACATCCTACTTTCAATGGAATTGGTTATTCTAATTTTCTTTCCTAGCTTTACTGATTTGTCATAAAAGGTATATCCGACATCTATTTTTGGATTGATTTATTTGTTAGTGATGAGTTCTAATTGTGTATTTTCTTAGAAATATCATTCTTTTAAAGTGTTCAATTCACAAAAATTAATCATCTCATGAAATTTTAGTGTTCCGGGTGCAACGCACGGACACTTTGCTAGTTGAAACATAAAAGTATATGAACTCTATCCATACCAATACAAGAATACAAGAGTGTAGGAAGTTTATAATAGAAATATTCAAATAAAAAAAACAAAAAGGATAAATAAAAGGCCTACTTTATGCCACATGGCCCATATTCAACCGTTTAGATTTGACCCAAGAATCTACGTGCATGAAACAAAGGAAAAGTTGGCCTGATTCAGATATGGACTAGGAACAAAAGGAATGTTAACATGTTCGCACGAACCTTTTCTTTAAAAGGGTAGATATAGCTAAGTGTTTCAAGAGGATGACAGCGAAGAACTTAATTGGTTTTCGACTAATATTCAGCTATTTTTACTAAAGTTCTAAACAGTACATTAGAGGTGCCAGTGCACAACTAAAGGTCTAAAGCAAGTTAAACTGCAATCTTTCGTATTAAAAACAATCTTTCCTGTACAGGACGACTATTTCTCTGATTTAATTTTAATTCCTAATTCCTAATTGTATTGGCAAAAGTAGTAGGAGCCACTTGTAATGTCCAAGGCAAAAACGACCTCTTGCTTCTTGCGCAAGTTGAAAGATCGTTTTCCAGAGGCCCATAGATGCTACTTCCTCCGTTACATATTATAAAATTTTTTAGCATTGCCTAAATTCATATAAATGTTAATGAATCTAGCCACAGATTCATTAATATCTATATGAATGTGGGCATGGCTAGATTCATTAACATCTATATGAATGTGGGCAATGCTAAAAAATCTTATAACCTGAAACGGAGGTAGTAGATCAGTCTTCCAAATTGACCCTAGCAGAAAAATGGGAAACATCCAAATAGACAATCAAATTAGTCGTTTGATATCGCATTATTCTCTCAAGAATGTACCAAATAAAGGGCACATTTTCAATGGAAACTACACTTGCTTCATATTGCCCAAGGTACAATCGCATTCAGCTATTTCATTACTTACGAGGGAATTGAAGTGTTCTTTATTCTGCTCCAATTATGTTTGGAGAAGGGCTCTAAACTCGGTAAGAGTATCTTGTTTTCATTATCCTTTTTTCAATGCCACTGTATGATTGCTACTTCTCCTCATATAAAATTTATGAACTGCAGTGCACGCTAGTTTTTCAGTAAACTTGCCGTTTTTATGCTCATGCAGATCTGGATCAGTAATCAAGTTCAATTTATCTTTCTTCCTGTTGCTTGTGTAGTCCTGGATTACCCCAAGGTGCTCTTTCATGTTAGTGTGCTCCAATGTATTTTCGTTTGCCACTTGTTCTCCACCTCCAATACCCAATTTCTTTGCTGTAACAATATGCTCTGACTCCTTATTTGAACTCTTGGCACAATCTAAAGTGATGTCAGTAATGTGCTTAAATTTTTTTTGCGGGCTCCCTCCATGTCGTTTGGCATTATTTGAACTGGCAGGTTCTACTGCACTGGTGGCTTTGACCATCTTTTCATTTGGTTCAGAGAGATGAATTAAGCAAGAATTGACACCTTCAGCTGCAAATGTGCAAAAGTTAAATCATTAGACTGGACTAAATCTAAAAAGACAAAATATGATCCATTACATTGAACAATAGCTAAATAAATATTGTTATAATTAAACTACTTGGGGCAAAATTCAGTAAAGTTTAAGGGATTTTGTGTCTGTCGACCAACTATGAACCATTCTTTTATATTGCATCAGCGTCCCACTAAACAGCAAATGAAGCCCTTTGGCTTCCACCAAAAAAATTGTGCCGTGCATCTGTAAAATTTTGGTGTCACTGCAGTCTGATATTTCAATACAGAAGCACTTCCTGTTTCCATAGAAGATTCAAAACAAGAAAGATTTTTATGGACATAATGTTGCATTTTTGTTTTCATGTTACTTTAGATCTTTGACCTTGTTAGACTTACTTTATGGATGTCTAAATTTAATCTTCAGCAATAAAAGATGTCTAAATTTAATCAGTGATTCTTCCGGGTCCATTCTACATAACAGGATTATGGGATAACTACCTTAAAGGAAGAGTCTGAACAGTGTGGCTCTTTCAAAGGAGATAGACTAGATGGGGCTATTATTCCCTTTTTTTTCTGCTTGACTATCACTCTCATAATACTCAACATTATATAGAAGATAAACAAGGATGGCTACAGAAAACTAAATATCTTTAGAAACTTGCAATTGAGATATATCAATAGCTGAAAGAACTGTTATCCTAGAAAACTAATCAAATATTATTGACTAAGCAATCAAACTTGATAAAAAAAACTAAGCAATCAAACTAACATTTAACAAAGGAAACTTATTGCGTACTATAGTAATGCTACAGTATCATGAACAATAGAAAGCTATAGGATCTTACCCCATATCTGCAGAACATGACAGTAAGTTCATGTTGTTACTAATATAGCAGAGCAGATCGTGTCCAGCTATCACCTTACACACTCTCTTGCTCAAGAAAACTTCAACATTCTATATTTCTATGCTTTCAATTTTTTTTACAAAGTACTAATATGCTGCCAATAATGAAAGAACAACTTGTTGAGAAATGGGAAAATGTGACGGCAAGTGTTAGCATCATTTTTGTTTCTTTTCCTTTAGTTTGCTTTCCAGTGAACTGTGGCCTTGTTGTTACTTGGCAGTCTTTTCTACTTGACCTGTAGTCTTTAGTGCTCTAAATAATATTTGTTTTACATAAAAGACCACAGATTAATATCATCAAATGCAGCCCGGCGAACTAATCATTAGGCATAATGGAAGGGAAATGCGTAATATATTATATAGACTTCCCTAGAGAATGCAAACAATGTAGCATGCATAATTGCATATTCAATTAATATGCTTTGTAGAGCTATTTATGTCAAAACATTATCATAGGATGACTAGAATATTTATACCACTTGTTATAACAGAAAATAATTCACATTCTTCACATTATTCAAAAACAACAAAAAAAATGTTGAGGACATAGTTTCCCGAATGGAAATAATCAAGCATAAAGAATAGTCAAATATTGCTCAACAGAATGATTAAATTGACTTTTTGTATGCTTTGATATTACTATTGACTGAGATTAACTAATTTCATATTTTGGCAATTATAGCCAAGCCTAGTAGGTGGTAGCATTACTATGCAAGCTACATCGATACATTTAGTCAACATTAAATACACCTCACCTCTTTTCTTTCAATACATGTTATTAAATCAAAAGGATTTGTTCCTTTCAAAGAAAAAAATAGGATTTGCATCGGGACCTAAACAAAAATACTTCAGAATCATAAAGCATGGTACATATTATTAAGTTGGTGTAATATTGACAAACCTAAATTAAATAAGTTTGAGGGCTCATTATCTTATCTTCATAAGTGGGAAGTTTAAACTGACGTTTGAAAACATTTCCCACAAAATACTAGGGAATTCAGTCCCTTCTTTAATTTTCAATCACATTAGTGCATTCATTATTACAAATCTTCCATGTAAACAATCAAATATACAATTTTGTTCAGAACACACACCTTATCCCATTCAAAAGGAAAATGGAAATAACTTACTTCTCAGTATTGTGATGTAGTCATTCTCCTTGGCAAGTAAATGAAGTAGATCAGAAAAGATAAAAGCTTATTGGAGTGTAACACCACTACACATCTCATCATTGATCAGGAAAGGGAAAGTCACAACAACATTTTTTTTTTTTTTTGGAAACAGAAGAGCAAAGCTCATCCCCTATCCATTACTAGAAACATTTCAGTTCAGCTACAGGGAAATAAAACCAGAAAAGCAGGAAAACATTCATTGGCAGATCACACAACAAATGGCGACATCCCACCATTCTGTGTGATCTCCACAACAACATGATACGTACTGCAAGAAACTAACTAAAGTTCAGGAATGTATGATGGAATAATCAGGACTACATATGAATCTCCAAGTCACATGCAGCACACATGGTGACCAGAGCAGCAATCAGCTTATATTTAATAGCACAAGACAAAGATGTTATGGCGATTATAACAACAGAGAAACACTAGCATGACAAAAAATAACTAGTTAATGAGGGATTGGTTAGAGATGTTCATTTCACTTGTCAGCTTTCAAACAGAATAGTTGTTGTAATAAAGCATCCTCGATGTACATGTGCTTCAAAACCACAACATTTCTGATTTTCTTAGTGCTTTTAAACTTTCTATTGGTCATAAAAAGTGCATTGGGACAGGCACCAAGTGACATTTTATTATTTGCATCTAATATTTCTTAATTTAATTCGCTCCACTTTTTTCCTGTTAACTACCTCTAGTATAGGGCATTTCTTTGCTTGACTTCGCTGTTCACTGCTTTTAGTCCTTATCTTTGCTATACAAATTTTACAGCCCTGTTTAGCCATGCTATGACCTGAGTTCATTGTTGTTTTACCAATAACCTTCATACTTTTAATGCTTTCATAAGTTGTATCATGGTTTCCCATGGCCTACCTCTTGATCTCTTGATAGCCTCTGACGTGACTAATGCAATCTCAGGTTTGGTGCTTTCAATAGTTGGCATCAAGATTTTCGGTGGCCTTCCTCTTGATCGCTTGATAGTATCTGAGTTAACTGCTTCTTTGGTTATGGATTTAACAGTTCCAAGTTTCCTTTCTTCTGGCCCGATTTCAGGATCCAACCCAGAAGACATACCTTCAGATATGATGTGGCAATTAGAAATCAGGTAGATGGAGGACAAAACAATACAAATTATATAAAGCAATCTAAATTGTGAAAACGACTTGTGTTTTATTTAAGGAAATGTTGGTTTTAGAACACCAAAATTTGGGAGGTTTAATTTTATACCACCAAAATATCTCTTTTACTTTTTATACCATCAAAATTGTTCTCCATTAATTTTTATACCACTGCCATCCACATTGTGTATTCTACAGATAGCCCTGACACCTTTACCTTCCTCATCCTACTCATTCATCCTTGTCCTTATGCTGAGTTGTGGTATGCCATCACGCCTACCTCTCGCCGGTGAACCATTGGCAAGCCCACCACCGGTGCTGTCCACCCCCACCCTCTTCTCCTCTTCTCTACACTCCCCCGTATGGCCATACCTCAGCCATTGGCCCATTGCTACAAGTGATGCCACTCAGAACCTGTTAAATATGTGATCCGAATTTTAGACCTACAATATATTCGGATTAGTTTCCTAGTAGGACTCCATGTATTTTCCTATTAGGTGTCTTTCTTTTATCTCCTATATATACTCTTCTAAGCCGTACTGGAAGGGGTGGTGACGTTCCCATTGTTATTCCCCTACGTTTGTAATCAACTTCTCAATAGTGATCATTGCCGGTCGGTGCCTGTGGTTTTTTCCCGCAAGAGTTTTCCACGTAAAATTCGTGTCTCCGTTGTGCATCTATTTTCATAACAGAACCTGTGTGTCATTGCTATCTGACTCAGGCAGCCAAGCAGCACCGCATCACGAAACGGTCCAGTCAGCACTTCTACAGTGAGCTCGTCCAGGATCTCTCCTTTTCCTCCCATCTCTAATGAATGAATTGAGCACAGCATGAACCAGGCAGAGCTTTAGATCTTGTGGATGAACGGTGTTCATATGCCTTAACCGACTAGCAGGAAAGGTGGTGAAGCGTAACGAGGCAGAGGACGCAACATAGTTTGCTGAGCACACATAGGGTGATGTGCCAGGGAGTCGAGTTGTCCACAATGGTGTATTCTGCACGCATCACGTTGATCCAGACAGAGCCACGACAGGCTAGATCTGGTATTCCACATGTTTTTCTTGCCAAAAAGATATAAAAATTCAAAAATATAAAGGCCCATACTGGCTGAAGTCGTATAGAACTAAACAGAATAAAAATTTGGAGGTATACATTTAACAGCAAGACTTTGGTGGTATAAAACAAAACGAGGTGAATTTTATTGGTACAAAAGCAAATATTTCCTTCATTTAATGGTTGTAAAGTGCTCTAGAAGTATGGAACTATCGCAGTCAAACTTTCACCCAAATTATTAAACATTTACAACCAGGAATTTTGCCCAGAACATATCGATTAGTATAGTAGCCAGTTCACTGAGAACAGAAAAAAACAATAACTACAGCATCAAGTGTTGAGTGTCATTATATCAGTTTCCAAGGGAAATAAAAACAATATATGTATATATTTATAAATCAGCTGGCAGGAGCAATGCCTTGGCCATTAGAAATAAAATAAGCCTAAAGAATGTTTAGTGGTATAGGCATAACCAAAATGTGGTGTGCATATTACAGCCTAGATTTTTCGCCTACATTTCCAGGTTATGTGAACTGTTTACTGGTGATAATCTGACATTCGGAAACTAAAGATAATTCAGATATCAATTTTGAAAATATAGAGAAAAGCTACACACAAAAACAACTGCAGGAAATTGTAATCTCATTCGAATACAGAAACATTGGATGACGGGCAGTGCTATTTGTGAAGCCATGACAATTGTGGATGGTTTCCGTGACAACATTATATACTAGATGAATACTCCGCCCCGTTGCTGCGGTAAATTAAGTTGTATAGTATGTAAAAATAAGCTATATTATATTTTGTAAACCAAAATAAAATGGCTTCCTATGTTTTATATAATTAACACATGATTGCAAATATAATGCAAGGTGAACATATTTTATGTAATTGATACTTATGAATTTTGAACTAAAAAACAATTGAGATTGTATGGTTTTAAGAGAGAAGAAAGAAGAAACTATTTGTACCATAGATCTATCATCCAAAGGCTAAAAATAATTGGGATGATGTGGCTTCATGAGAGAAGAGAGAAATAGCATTAACTACACTTAGTGGGAATGAACTATATAAATATATAGGATATGTTACTTGTGATAAGCACATCAAGCAGCTCGCATATTATTTGAATTCCTTATTAGTTTAAAACCAAACCCAAGGACTCATGTCACCTGATTCGACATATGACTGAAACAAAAGTTTAGGACTCCACATCTGCGGCCATGTCCAGCACAGCAGCACCTTCGATCTCGACACTGCAAATTTCCCCTGTTTTATTGTTTGCTTGTTTGTTGTTTTTTTTTATTATTTCTGCTTATGATTATCTCTAGACAACTTATTTGTCATAGATGATGCTCCCTTGTCCATGATCTTGTGCCAATTTCTGTGGTAGTTATAATTATCCACATCTACAAAAACTTAATACCTATAACCTAAAATACCCTTTTACTAATACCAAGTATTTCATTTGTCGCATGTGTAACTTGACGCTGACAGAGTACAGATTCTATGAAATAGGTTGTATTACAAATTAGTGTTCAACAGAAAGTAACATAACTGCCAAAGGCAAAGTCAATAACTGTAGGAAATGTACTAATGTGATTACCACACATAACTAACAGCTACATGAACTTACAGTTATTTGATGCCAGGCCATTAGATAGTTTCTTGCCTTTGACCGATGCTCCTACAGACTTTTTCTTTGCTTTTCCTTGTATTTTCAGTCTTTTCAGCATACTTTGAGGCTGCAATTGAAAACAATTACCAAATTCTATTCAAAGAAGCCCTGACACTTCTCAGAAATGGCCATAAAGGTAGCACAAATAGCCATGAAAGAAAAACATTTAAGAGCAACTCACACTACAGTCAATGTTATTGATAACTACTGTTAGATTGGAAATGGCATGTAAAGTATTAAAATAATATTTTCAACCAATTCTGTAGTAAATTCCATGTATGTAAATTTGCAGGAATGTCATGAGAAATCAATTGACATTTCAGTTCTAAAACTTAGGCTCAAAGAAAACCATTTGGTTTGTGCCAGAAAGCATGAAAATAGGAAGTAGAATCGAGTTACAACTCGATGGACAATGAGCCGATAAGGTCAACAAAACTTATAGACCCAACTTTACCCTTTTTTATGCTCGAAGGCTGAAGCGGAATAGCTGATACATGGACAATCCAAAAGAATGGCATAGGATAAAACAAAGAGTCGTACAAGGGCAGTGAAAGAGAAACTGTCAAAACATTGGTTATGCATGGCCAAAGGCTCTAAGACACAAGCAATTCTCAATATTAACTTGATTTATTGTGGACTCTTTGGGAAAGCTGACAAGAATTTCCAGCATCTTCCCTCAAAAAAACAATTTTCAGTATCATGAAGAGCACTGTATTGCTCATTTCAAAAGCTTCTATGGTCTCTTGAATTAAATGAGAAATAACTGGACCAGATAGTAAACTGCGTATATTTATCAAAATTGCATGCTCAACTGTGTAAGAACTAAGAACATTAAAAAGCAAGTAATGCAGATTTTTCTTTGAGAGTTAGAGGTTTTGAAGGATAATAACATAATTTTGATAAGGAAAAAACAATACAAAAAAGTAATTACCAGATCTGTGCACCTGTCAAAAGAGTACATATCAGTAACGCTTCTCCTCGGAATATAGGCATGTTTAGTGATTTGTCCAGTTTCAAGGTAGTTGATTACAGACTTGAGTGTGCGGAATACATGACGACTAACAGGATCAGTATAATACTGCACAAGAAGATAATGTTTCTTCAGAAAACATTAATCAATGTGTTCCCATATGCCAGCATATTATATCAAAAGAATCGCATGCTATATTGTAATGTACCGGGTCTTTCCTAATTCCATCATTGCACTTTCTAAATATTATTTCCTTCACCCATCCTTCTGGAAGCCCATCTGGATTAAATTCTACCATTGCAAGAATCTGTAAATAAGTGTAACAATTAGCTCTAAAAAAAAGCATTACTTGCCTAATAACATAAATATTTACAGCAAATACCATACATTATCTTCAGAGCTTGTATCACACAAACCCTTTACATCACATCTGGAAATCTTCCCCTCATTAGAATAGAGCAGTACATTTTCTTTCGACAAGAACCGCATTCCAGTAGGCAGATGAACATAGAACTGCAACAACATATTTCCATGGATTTTTAGTCACATGTAATTGAAAAATAATCATATCAGATAAAAATCATTTGTCAAACTCTCAGCCTCCACCCTGAAGGGCACTACCAGCAATTCCATCCTATGTTGCACCACATGTATTTTATCTAAAGCATGGTGCAAACGATCATGAAAAGTTCCAATGTGGCTAATATTGTATCGTGGAGATATAAAGACTCTTATTTACAGTTAAAACCTATTACAGGAAATTTGTTTTTTGCTCCAATGTGGCTAATATTGTATCATTGTGGAAGGCAAGGATTTCCTTACAAGTCACAATCAAATGTTTTTTGTGGCTACTTTACAATATTTCTATTCTTACGCAAAACAAAATAGGCCACATAAACTGGTAGGATGATAAACCCTGCCTTGTCTATTCAAACTGATGGATTTTTTAACACACCTTCTATTTGGCTGCCCTCTCACCTGACCTATGTAGAATTGTGGAGTGCAACTGGCTAATATTGTATCATTATGTAAAATAGGTCGCGAATCGTTGTGCCTGAAATGATCACGGTTCTGTTCGAACCCCCCTGTGATCTCGGGGATTCTTTTTCTATCCTAGAACACAACGGTGTTGTTCAGGATGTTCTTCACTCCAAACTTTTTCGGTGTTTTCTACGGTTTGTTTTCACAACTGTTATTCTGCGTCTCCCCTCGGTTTCATGTGAGAGTCATTGGCGGTGTTATGAGTAATAACGCTTGATTCGAATTTTGACAATTTTTGTATAAGTTGTTTGTTCTCATCTAAAACTGGATAGTTCAGACAAACAAAAGAACAGGACTCGGTATTCTAAATGGATTCAGGTGGCATAGCCAGTTGCTTGACATTTACATTCTTTTGGTTTAGCTGCTTTTTGCTGGTCTGCATGAAAGTCCGGATATAGTCTGCTTTAAGAAGAAAATGTCTGTCGGCTCAAGAATTATTTTGAATATTTTGGACAGATTCGCTGAAGGGATGACTGCAAGGAGAAGATGAGGGCTGGAGCAGCACAACTGCAGGAATTAGTGTTGTCACTCAAGACTGTGGACAATGTTCTTTGTTTGGATGATCCTCCTGTTAAAGAAAGTTGGCATGGTGTATCGATCATGTTTACGTAATAAAAGTCTGTATGACCTTGATTGCATGATGTCTTCTTCATCTTATGGTTTGTGGCCAGATGAGATCGGTTCTCGAATGCAGCACTTTGCTTTGAACTCTATGAAAGATGCATGTGGTGTACTTGTGAGAACTTTGTTATCTGTTTTTCTTAATGTAACACGGAGTAGGATTTTCCATCACTCTTAAATAATTGGGCAGTAGCTTCCACAACCGATTTTTTTAGCAGAATACACCTGATGTTAATTGAAGGACAAGGTCCAAAATTACCTTGTACATTTTTTCCATCTTCTTACCCCCAGCTCTGACTTCAATTGCCCACCCATCTGGAAGCCATGTGTGCATTCTCTGCATGTGAAAAGCAGGAAAGCACAACACAAATGGAATCAACAGTAGTACAAAAAAAATCACATCATCATGAGTACAACTTACATGAAGCTCATTGTCATCGGCGCACGCCTGAGACTCCAGCACACGCTCATCCATCTCCGAAAAAAGATAATGTAGTGTCTCCATCTTTGTAGAGAATGTGTATCCTGACACCGGGGAAGTGTAATACTGCACATAAATGATCAGGAAGCGACCAAACCTGTAACGTCTCGACCCAAATGATCTTACAAATATCAAATATCACACAGAGATATATAGGTATGGGCATATGTTAGAGTGAATACCCGGTAGATGTTGCCGTTGTCGCCACAACGTACCTCCATGATCCAACCATCAGGAAGCCAATCAGGTAGTTCCTCTAAGACCTCCGCATCCTTGTCCTTCTCCTCTGCTTCATTTGCCTCCACACTCTCTTCCCCTTGCTTCTTCATTTCTTCTGCCTCAACATGCTGCTCCATTTCGTTGTCATCTAAGATGACCACCGGAGGAGGCGAGTTGTCAACCTCTCTGTAGCAGAAGAAGCAAATCCTTAGTGCAATGACTTTTCTTTGAAATGTTGAGACTAACCAGTAACCGCCATCCTTAGTAAGGAAAGAAATGCTGACCAAATGTGACCAAAAACACAGTTGTAGGAAAATGGAAACTGAGAAATCGCATCGAATACAGGGAGTATACCTCTCAGGGGCGAAGCTAGCCCTGTTCATGAGGGTTAGCCAACCCTGAAGAAATTCGAAATCCTTTAGTAAAATGTTGTTTCGATCATCGTTTACTGTGCTATGCAATGGAGCTGACCCTGACAATATTTTCGGCTGGCTTCACCCTAATTACCTCTAATCATACACTGCTCAGATACGAAAAACCCGAAATAGCTACAAAAATCTACCTCTACTGGGTATAAATCAACTGTTTGCAATCACCATATGAGTGTATCTAGGGAACATATCCTGTGCACACAGGCATTATCGTTTGCACACCGTGTACACCAACTAACAAATTGCACCAAACAATCTAGAAAGAATTGTACAAGTACTTTCAATAGTATTACACTTATGTGTAAAGTCTTAACCTCAAATTCATTATATTTGAGCTGTAACAAAAAAAGATAAAAATTCTAACAGTTTTAAGAGTATGACACTGTTAGAAATTTGTTTTTTTCGTTGCTCCCTATATATAATGAATTTGAATATGAGACTTTACATATAGATGTAATACTACTAAAAGTATATGTATATTTTTTTATAGATTTTTTTGGTGATATGTTTTAGTTGGTGTCCATGGTGTGTACACGAAAAAACTTGTGTGCATAAGATTCGTTCCCGTGTATCCATCCCAAAATACACAATCAATTCATTCAGGACAGAGAGCTAGTTGCACTACACCAGAAGAATCAATATTAATGCCAGAAATCGGCTCCTAGAACCAAAATAGGAGTATGGTTCACACGAATCGCCCAATAGAGTACATAAGAACAGGGTCTGTCTAGTTTGACTCCCCACTTTTCACAACTGCTCATGTGATTATCAGTCAAGCTCACGCATAGCAAACTAGAATCACAAGTTCACCCAGAGAGCATCACTCTCTGGGAGAGAAGAGGGACGAACCTGGCGCAGCCAGACGGCGAAGCGCGGCGGCGGCGGCGCCGAGGAAGTGGGGAGGAGGAAGGCTGGCCGGCTCCGAGCGGAGGAGCGCTGGAGGCGAGCCTGGAGGAGCGGCGGGGCGCCACGCCGGCCGGGGTGGACATGGGAGGGTTTGGCCTCGCCGCGCGGGGAGGCCGCTCGGCGGTGGGCGGCGGTGGGTGGCGGACTGGCAGCGAGAGCAGCGTGTGAGGCAGGAAGGAATCGGTGCGCGTCTCAATTCTCGGACGCTGGTGGTGGGGCCCACCACAACGACATGGAGGAGCCCTCGACTCTCGAGATTCCTGTACTGGAGAGCTGGCAGTGCGATCCGTCGGCTTGAATTGATATGAGGAGAGCGAAGCTGGCATCGGACGGCGCTCGTATGGTGCAGTCCACCCTGTACAGCAAAGGAGCCCGGCATCACTCTCACTCAGTTACTCCGGTCAAGGAGGTGTCGACCAAACCTAGACAGACGAAAATAAATAAATAAGCCACGGGGCCAGGGCCGTTGTTGGGGGGCACATATCCTGTGCAAAGAAACTTCACGTATGTATTCCGTGAATATCAATTAACAAATGTCATAAAAAAAAATTTAAAAATTGTGCACATATTTTTAATGTTATTATACCTATGTGTTATCTTAAATCCATTGTATTTTATAGTAGAAAAACAAAAGGTCCAACGGTTAGTTTTAAGGTTATAAATATGAAAAAGTACGAATTACCCTTAAACTATTGTGGTCGATCGATGTACCTCTAACTTAAAAACCGGACATTGTTCATCCTGAAATTTTTTTACCGGACGAATTACCCCATCAACCCAATCTAAAACGGTTTTGTTCTACGTTACGTACGCGTGATAATCTAGTTAGTATTTTATTTATTAAAATAAATGTGGGACCACATGTCGTACTCCTATTCCCATCTTCCTCTCTCTCTCTTCTCTCTCTTGCGCGCATGGCGGGCGGGAGAGGCAGGCGAGGCGGGGCCGTGGCAGAGAATTGAGGTGGGCGGGCACAGGTCAAGCGGCGGAAACGCTCCGCCGCGTACGCGCCGCGCTCGGCTGCTTCTCGCGCCGCCGCGATGTCTTCGGTTGCCTCCACACGGAAACGCTCCCGCTCCACCTCCATGGACGGCTCCGTGCTGGTGCTCACCTCCACTGGCCTTTGCACAACGGCGTCCTCACCGTCGACGACCATCGACTGCCGACTCGCCGTGTCGCGGTAAGTGCAGCTGACCTTGATCAGTTATGTGGCGTCTTCTACGGTGCCGGCTGCTGGCACGTCCACGAACACCAAGAAACGCCTCTCCTCGTCGGCGTAGAGCTCGCCGACGTCCACCGACGCTGCCCTGCCGTCCCCGTCAATGACGCTGTCGTAGCGGCCGGAGTTGACAGACCTGACGCGCACGCCGTGGTGAGGGCAGGTGATGACGAGGCGCGCCTCCTGCACGGTGACCGAGAGGAGCCCGCCGATGCAGGAGAACGCGTCCTGGACGACGGCCTGGTTCTCGATGAAGGAGAGCGTGCCGCCGGTTTCCTCCGCGATGGTGTGCATCGCCGCCGCGTCGTGGTCGGTGCCGAAGTGTGGAGATTATGGGTACCCCATACCCACACGGCATGGTTATCCGACTAGTTATAGGGGATAACTTATATATATGAAATATGTAACAGATCATGACTTGGGTATTACGTTTCCCTGTATATTATGGAACGGCCTAAAGTCCTGGTTTGATAAGATTGTAAAGTAGATTTAGGAAACCGATACCGTATTGGTTATGGTTTCTATCTTGTAACCCTGCCCCCCAACCTATATAAGGAGGGCAGGGAGCCCCTCTAGGGGCATGAGACAACCTGATCGTCAGATCAATACACACTCGGCGGATTCAAATCCCCAAACAGGAGTAGGGTATTACCTCTCATTGAGAGGGCCTGAACCTGTCTAAATCCTTTGTCTCTGCATCCATCCACTTTAGGTCTCGTACGCTACCCCCTTTTATTATTGCCGAAATCATGTTTCGACAGTTGGCGCGCCAGGTAGGGGTTGCGTCGAGTTTCCTATCAACGAGCGCGATGGAATCAATTTCATGAGTCGCCGACTTCGTTTTCGCTTTGGGAGTTTTCACTTCCTTTCCGTCGACCACTTCTTCAAGCTCCTCTTCTCTGACTTGATCCAAATCAGTCAGGGGGAAACTCAATCTGATTTTTATCATTATTTATCATATTGATTTTTAATCTCAGATTAATCTCTTGCTATTTTTTGTTGTTGTTCGCATATAATTACGCGGCACTATTGAGGCGATTGATGCTGGTCATGGACTCGAGGCGTCTCAGCTTTCCGGTCAATCGGCCGCGAGTCCACTCTGCCGGCTTGTCTTCGCCACCGCCACTGCTGATAACAACAACGACTTCACCGCCGGCCTGCCTCCGTCGCCGCCGACTGGTGTCTTCGCCTATATGGTTGGTTGGTCACACCACCGTTGTTGGGCGTCTACATCTTCACCGCCGGCCTGCCTCCGTCGCCGCCGATTGGTGCCTCCGCCTACACGGCTGGCCTATTATGCCACCGTTGTTGGGCGTCTACATCTTCACCGCCGGCCTGCCTCCGTCGCCGCCGATTGGTGCCTCCGTCTACACGGCTGGCCTATTATGCCGCCGTTGTTGGGCGTCTACATCTTCACCGCCGGCCTGCCTCCGTCGCCGCCGACTGGTGTCTTCGCCTATATGGTTGGTTGGTCACACCACCGTTGTTGGGCGTCTACATCTTCACCGCCGGCCTGCCTCCGTCGCCGCCGATTGGTGCCTCCGCCTACACGGCTGGCCTATTATGCTACCGTTGTTGGGCGTCTACATCTTCACCGCCGGCCTGCCTCCGTCGCCGCCGATTGGTGCCTCCGTCTACACGGCTGGCCTATTATGCCGCCGTTGTTGGGCGTCTACATCTTCACCGCCGGCCTGCCTCCGTCGCCGCCGACTGGTGTCTTCGCCTATATGGTTGGTTGGTCACACCACCGTTGTTGGGCGTCTACATCTTCACCGCCGGCCTGCCTCCGTCGCCGCCGATTGGTGCCTCCGCCTACACGGCTGGCCTATTATGCCACCGTTGTTGGGCGTCTACATCTTCACCGCCGGCCTGCCTCCGTCGCCGCCGATTGGTGCCTCCGTCTACACGGCAGGCCTATTATGCCGCCGTTGTTGGGCGTCTACATCTTCACCGCCGGCCTGCCTCCGTCGCCGCCGACTGGTGTCTTCGCCTATATGGTTGGTTGGTCACACCACCGTTGTTGGGCGTCTACGTCTTCACCACCGGCCTGCCTCCGTCGCCGCCGATTGGTGCCTCCGTCTACACGGCTGGCCTATTATGCCGCCGCTGTTGGGCGTCTACGACTTCACCGCCGGCCTGCCTCCGTCGCCGCCGAGTGGTGCCTCCGCCTACACGGCTGGCCTATTATGCCGCCGTTGTTGGATGTCTACATCCTCACCGTTGGCTCACCTTCGTTGCCGTCGACTGGTGTTTCCGCTTACACGGCTGACCTATCATGCCGCCATTAGTGGGCATCTTCGCTTTCACCGTCGACCGCCTTCGTCGCCGCCGACTGGTGTCTTCATTGTTATTGATGGACGACTTTGTTCCCACATTGGCCACTTCTGCCATCACCAAGGGGAATATTACAAAGCTAAGTCATCATTTATTTTATTCTTTATATGATATTTTTCCTTTTCCTCTGCCTCACTACACCAATTGGTCTTCCATTGAGTAGTGAGTCGGGGGCTACAGATGTTATATCATATTTTTCATAATATTTATCTTGATTGCTTGCGACATAATCTGAGTACAAAAGTACCTATCGAGTTATGGAGTTCTATCTTCCTATGCTTTCCGTTTGGTTTGCCAATGGATGGTTGCCTTTGGGCCGATTCCTAGCACCCGGGGGCTCGTTGGATGGACCGAGTAACGCAAGGTGCTAAGTATTATTCGGAATAAATCAAAAGCATAGAGATGAGATAAATTTATTTTCTGCTCTTAATAATTGCAAAAGTACCCGAGTAGTAAACTCCGATCCGTGAAACTTTGTTCCATTAATGACGAACTCATGTCACTCATATGCATGTTTGGGAAGTGCTTAGGCCGACTCCCAGTGCTTGGTGGCTATGACTAGTCGGGCAGAGTGTTTAAACGTAATGAGTCATCTGCTCGGGGAAATCAAAATTAACAAGAGAAGAAATACGTATTTATAAACTGCTTGAACTTTTCTCGAGTATTATATTTATATCAGATACTACTCATCCTATATGTTTGTTCTGCAGGATCCAGATCCAGATATGCATAAAAGGGATTCATGGCTTTAAGCTTATCTCTTACGCTCCAGGAATGGATCAGTCAGAACATCACCACCGGCTCGCCTCGACCGCCGCCGACTGGTGTTTCCGCCTGCACGGCTGGCCTATTATGCTGCCGTTGTTGGGCGTCTACGTCTTCACCGACCGGCTTGCCTTCGCCGCCGCCGACTGGTGTTTCCGCCTGCACGGCTGGCCTTTATGCCGCCGTTGTTGGGCGTCTACGTCTTCACCGACCGGCTTGCCTTCGCCGCTGCCGACTGGTGTTTCCGCCTGCACGGCTGGCCTTTATGCCGCCGTTGTTGGGCGTCTACGTCTTCACCGACCGGCCGCCTCGTCCGCCGCCGACTGGTGTCCTCGCCTGCACGGCTGGCCTATTATGCCGCCGTTGTTGGGCGCCTACGTCTTCACCGACTGGCTCGCCTTCGTCGCCGCCGACTGGTGTCCTCGCCTGTACGGCTGGCCTATTATGGCGCCGTTGTTGGGCGCCTACGTCTTCACCGACCGGCTCGCCTTCGTCGCCGCCGACTGGTGTCCTCGCCTGCACGGCTGGCCTATTATGCCGCCGTTGTTGGGCGCCTACGTCTTCACCGACCGGCTCGCCTTCGTCGCCGCCGACTGGTGTCCACGCCTGCACGGCTGGCCTATTATGCCGCCGCTGTTGGGCGCCTACGTCTTCACCGACCGGCTCGCCTTCGCCGCCGCCGACTGGTGTCCTCGCCTGCACGGCTGGCCTATTATGCCGCCGTTGTTGGGCGCCTACGTCTTCACCGACCGGCTCGCCTTCGCCGCCGCCGACTGGTGTCCTCGCCTGCACGGCTGGCCTATTATGCCGCCGTTGTTGGGCGCCTACGTCTTCACCGACCGGCTGGCCTTCGCCGCCGCCGACTGGTGTCCTCGCCTGCACGGCTGGCCTATTATGCCGCCGTTGTTGGGCGCCTACGTCTTCACCGACCGGCTCGCCTTCGTCGCCGCCGACTGGTGTCCTCGCCTGCACGGCTGGCCTATTATGCCGCCGTTGTTGGGCGCCTACGTCTTCACCGACCGGCTCGCCTTCGCCGCCGCCGACTGGTGTCCTCGCCTGCACGGCTGGCCTATTATGCCGCCGTTGTTGGGCGCCTACGTCTTCACCGACCGGCTCGCCTTCGCCGCCGCCGACTGGTGTCCTCGCCTGCACGGCTGGCCTATTATGCCGCCGTTGTTGGGCGCCTACGTCTTCACCGACCGGCTCGCCTTCGTCGCCGCCGACTGGTGTCCTCGCCTGCACGGCTGGCCTATTATGCCGCCGTTGTTGGGCGCCTACGTCTTCACCGACCGGCTCGCCTTCGTCGCCGCCGACTGGTGTCCACGCCTGCACGGCTGGCCTATTATGCCGCCGCTGTTGGGCGCCTACGTCTTCACCGACCGGCTCGCCTTCGCCGCCGCCGACTGGTGTTTCCGCCTGCACGGCTGGCCTTTATGCCGCCGTTGTTGGGCGCCTACGTCTTCACCGACCGGCTCGCCTTCGCCGCCGCCGACTGGTGTCCTCGCCTGCACGGCTGGCCTATTATGCCGCCGTTGTTGGGCGCCTACGTCTTCACCGACCGGCTTGCCTTCGCCGCCGCCGACTGGTGTCCTCGCCTGCACGGCTGGCCTATTATGCCGCCGTTGTTGGGCGCCTACGTCTTCACCGACCGGCTCGCCTTCGTCGCCGCCGACTGGTGTCCTCGCCTGCACGGCTGGCCTATTATGCCGCCGTTGTTGGGCGCCTACGTCTTCACCGACCGGCTCGCCTTCGCCGCCGCCGACTGGTGTCCTCGCCTGCACGGCTGGCCTATTATGCCGCCGTTGTTGGGCGCCTACGTCTTCACCGACCGGCTTGCCTTCGCCGCCGCCGACTGGTGTCCTCGCCTGCACGGCTGGCCTATTATGCCGCCGTTGTTGTGCGCCTACGTCTTCACCGACCGGCTTGCCTTCGCTGCCGCCGACTGGTGTCCTCGCCTGCACGGCTGGCCTATTATGCCGCCGTTGTTGGGCGCCTACGTCTTCACCGACCGGCTTGCCTTCGCCGCCGCCGACTGGTGTTTCCGCCTGCACGGCTGGCCTTTATGCCGCCGTTGTTGGGCGTCTACGTCTTCACCGACCGGCTTGCCTTCGCCGCTACCGATTGGTGCTTCCGCCTGCACGGCAGACTTATTATGCTGCCGTTGTTGGGCGTCTACGTCTTCACCGACCGGCCGC